TCTTTCCCTTTTAACAAAAATACATGTACAATACACACTAATAAAAGGGTTTGCAGGATATTTACTATATGTGTACCTTATTAAAGTGATTTTTTTTTTGTGTTGACACTGAACGTCAAGAACTTGGTACCCCCAGGTAATGTAACTGTCAATATGTGAAATTTATATGCACACCTTTAACCCTAAATATAATGAGATTTCTTGCAGGGAGTCACAGAATCCATTATTTCTTTCATATAAAAAGACTGAAGCTTCCTATGAACTTATCTGATGATCAAATATGTATATTGTCATCTCATATAGTTATATATATATATATGTATATTGTATATATATATATATATATATATATATATATATATATATATATATATTGTATATAAAACACACACACACACACAAAATGTATATGTATATATGTATGTATGTATATATATATATATATATATATATATATATATATATATATATATATATATATATATATATATATATATATATATATATATATATATATATATATATATATATATAAACACACAATATATATATATATATATATATATATATATATATATATATATATATATATATATATATATATATATATATATATATATATATATATATATATATATATATGGTTAATATGTAAATAAATGTGCTAGATCATGGAATTCTTTTGTATTCCACATTTCATCGATTTTTTTATCATTCAAACTGAATCATTGCAAAAGATATTGTGCTTGTATCACACACACATTATATAACATAATATTCAATATCCAGATCTTACCAAGGGCAAACAAACAACAATTACAGTAACAAAATAATATTTATTGTATGTCTATAAAATGGTGCCAAGCTCCCATAGAGGCTGCCACCACCACGCCTAGTGATGTCCTCACGCCCGTGTGTCCGTCACTTGGGGTTTTGGTGTTGACAAATTTTCCTTACCTGACCCTGTGTGTTGCTTTCTTATACAGTCCTATAGGTTATTACTCATGAGTTTAAAGAATCACTTCATTAAGTTAATATGAGCTTTAAAGTGACAAAAATCTGATACATTGGTGGAGACAGCTAGTGGTAATGAGGGAATGCTTTACTTTGTTGGTAAGCACGGGCATTCTTCACCAATTAAGTTATACAGGTTATTCATCTGAAATTTACAGTATTTGTCACTTCAGATTCTTTACAAAATATTACATCAGTTCTCCAAACTTGGGATTCTTTTACTTATCTAGAAACCCTCTGAGCTTGTATCTACTAGACACACATCTTACCTGCCATCAAACAGCATAAAATTCAATCATGTTTTAAGATTTATATTGCATTGCAACTAGTATGTTCTACAACTTGAATTTTGAAACACATATGAATGAAATGCCAATATATTTTCAGTAACAAACTACAACATTCCTTGTGCTGACCCGATGTGTCACTGGATACATCACTAATATTGTCTTGTTCTTGATGACAGTCCTTAATATGAATATTACATGACATCCACTGCTTGAAAAAATTTTAAACATCACATTTTCTATATTATATTCTAGACTCCACTCTCATAATAATTTCTTTTTTACAATATGTACAAATAACACCTGAGACCTTACAGTCACTTTATGTACATACCTTTAAAAATATTACCCTTCTCCCTACATAGCAAATAAAGAAGTATAGATTTTACAAATACATCTTTCAAGTGTGGTACCAAATTCTTAGAAATTTTGCTAAGATTAGTACCTTTATTTGCTTATGTAAGCAGAACACATATCTTAACAACCCTACAAATGAATTGGATATCAACAAAATGTAGCCTATTAAACCTTTCAGACAAACAGAAACAAAGGACAATCATCTTTCAGTTCTTGATGTCTCCTCTTTTTCACAACCCACAATTTAGATGATATCGTTCCTTTCTGCAGCAGTTGTTTATCCTTCTACTGCAAAATAACTTTTTCTCTTTTTTTATTACTATTGTCAATAAGCCATACTTCTTTCACCTGGTAGTGTGTACAGGCAACTATTGAACCTGCTTCCATATCCAGAGAATATATCATGCTTTTCGGAAACTTACTATGACTTATTTTGCCCTTAGGATGACAATATTAATGCAATGAAATCCAATAGAAATGGAAACACCCAAAATCATGATATTAATATAAATCAAAACAGATCTATTAATCTGCATTATTTGCCCATATGCTAGTCTCTAGCCAAGAGTATTACTATTACTATTCTTTAGCATAACTATACTGTTGAGCTGCTACATTCCACAATGAAAAATTTGTTGACACATCATTTTGAACACAAGCAGTTTTTAGGCAGTGAAAATGGCTTAATGAAAGTCTAGACATATGAATCAACTATGCTCATTTACACCAAAGAGGTCTAGCTATCTGCACCTACTGCAAAGAAAATAATATATTTAATAACATATCTAATGAGTTATATAAAAAAAATGGAAATGATGAGATACAAATTCATAGGAACTCTAGAAATAAAGGTAAATACCAGATCTGAGCTTCCCTTATGTTATGAGGAATATAACAAATGAAATATCACACCTTACACTTATAACTGGAATGTAATGCATTTTATAGCTCTCAGTAAAAAAAATTAAGGTCAAAAGAATATCACTGACAAAATTCTCTCTAATACATAGTGGCCATTTTAACTTTCTGCCAATGAAAAACAAACAAACAAAGAGAGAGAAAAAAAGCAAGCAAGAAGAGGGTCACCAATACAATGATTAGAACACTGGGTCAGAGGACAACACAGCTTTTCATTATACCACTCTCAAGATAAAACAGATAAAACCTATAAAGTATCTAATTTGAAATATATGTCTTAAAACATTATACCTGTGCTACAAATGCAACAGTATCAAAACAAATACAATGCTAAATAAATAAAACTACCAGGAATATGTATCAATATGGAATGAGTTTATAAATTACATCTTTCCCTTTTAACAGAAATACATGTACAATACACACTAATAAAAGGGTTTGCAGGATATTTACTATATGTGTACCTTATTAAAGTGATTTTTTTTTTGTGTTGACATTGAACATCAAGAACTTGGTACCCCCAGGTAATGTAACTGTCAATATGTGAAATATATATGCACACCTTTAACCCTAAATATAATGAGATTTCTTGCAGGGAGTCACAGAATCCATTATTTCTTTCATATAAAAAGACTGAAGCTTCCTATGAACTTATCTGATGATCAAATATGTATATTGTCATCTCATTCTGCCTATTCACTGGACATGTAGTGTTCACTACATAATCATATCATATTACAACTGTTTTAACTATACAGGGTGTCCACAGAATTGTACAATAACAATATTGGCTGAAAATAGTTATAGCTACCTTGGGAATGACACAAGGACATACACAGAACCAAGGGTCCAGAGGGGGAAAAAATATCTTGGCTATACAAGTTGAACATGATGATTAACCGTACATTAGCAGATAAAAACGTATTTACATGAAACATGCAAAGAAAATCAGTACCAAAACGATAACCGACAAGAATTTCAAACATGGAAAATAAATCAACAATGACAAATAAACAAAATCAACCTCATGCAGGAATGTCTTCTTTCTTGATGTGCACGGAATCATAAGAGATAAAAACTTTCTATCACTATTGCAGTTACACTCACATCAAGAATATTAGTCAAACATACCACTTGGCAAATAGCTATCATTTCTTTGAGAATGCTGAATTCTACTTCATGCAGGTTTCTACTTCAAGAGGTTACCATCAAAAATCACAAATCAAAATTTAAAAAGTTAACTTGATGTATAAAATATTTAGTTACTGTACATTTATATTATTTAATCTGTTTATATCATCCATCATTTTCAACAATTAAATTTTTTTTTACCAAGATTACACTTAGTAAATATGTAGCAGTAAAGTCACTTGCACATATTCATTTCATATCGCTTACTATAGCACACTACAGTCCTTGTCTTTTACAAACCTACAAATATTTAGTGCAATAGTAAGAAAAGAACAGTGCCATAATATGCATCAAAATGAAAATTTATGCTTAACCCATAAACTGGAGTGCCTGTTTTGCACATACTCGGCAGTACTGCTTGCCTTTTCATAGTCATAGTGAAGGAAACACTGGCATATTACAAATGAAGATAATGATGCCAAGTACTGAATAGAGGCACTACTAATAATGTGAAAAAAAGGGTTGAAAATCAATCAGGATATTTATAAGCATCATTTGAAAAGAATGCTCTAAAGACACAGCATTCTGATGGCCAGCTGTTGAGGAGTTATACAACAGTTTATGGGTTAGTGGTTGCTACTTCGTCTGTGCGCGTATAATCGGATATCAGATAGGCTGGCAACACATCATGAAATACTGATTGCAATGAGATTCTCATTAAAAAAAAAAACATTACTTGAGGATGATTGATATATATGAGGACACATCAAATCTGAACTTCTACATAGAAAAATTACGGATCTTTTTAATTGCAATTACTTATGGTCCTAATGTTGAGTCTACTTCATTCATTACTAATCACTTCCTTTATAGTTTCTTTGAGTAAAACAGTAGTTCAAAAAGGACCTTTGTAAATTAATAGCTTGATAAACAAAACAACAAACAATTCTGAAAAACAAGTGACTGTCTGCTTCCTTATAACATGTAATTTATGAATACCAAAAAATAGTAATGAGCTTGCCTGATTAAGCAAAAGAGCATAATACACACATGCTTATAACCTTACACTCCCTTTTGCAAACATGCATCTCCTCATGCATAATAAATTGATATAAATGATACAATCAAAACAATAAATGAAGAGAAACAAATTGGGACGGCCAATGTCACAACACTGTTCAATGAGTTCCAAACACTGGCTACAATCATAAAATCTTAAAAATACAGTAATGATGCTGCTTTCAGAATACCAGAATTGTAAAGGTGTAAATGACTTTTTGTTCATGTCAAACACTGGCTACAATCATAAAATCTTAAAAATACAGTAATGATGCTGCTTTCAGAATACCAGATTGTAAAGGTGTAAATGACTTTTTTCAACCCTCAAGAGGTTATAAACAAATCAGTCTTCTTCAACCTAAAAATATGGAGATATCTGCTCCACAGTGGAACTTCATCTACAAAAATATCGGTCTTACCATCAAATAATAACAACTTAATCCCAAGCAATAAAAATAAATAAATAACTCAACACTGTTTACAACAAACAACAATACAGAAACACTCAGAAGTTATCACTGCCCAAAATTTGAACTGATTGCAAAGCAGAAGAAAAAGAAGGCATGATTTGTGACCCATCATGAGGGTAGTGATTCCCTCATGATATATATACAACATCAAAAGAAAATAATAAAATACAGTGCTGAATATAAAGTATGCTTTACAGCTTCATTACAGTTTTACTATCTATGCAGGTTTTTGAAACATGGATAATCTGGACAATGTATCCTCTTAACAGTATTTGAGCATTACATCCAGAGAGAGAAAATAGTGTAATATATAAGCTAATATGCATCATAATGAACATAATATTATTATATGTAGACACATAATGGCCAATAGTTTTTTTTTCCTCTCTTGATAATGAATTTAATCCAACTAGCTTCTCAAACTACTTAATTACAACTATCTGTAAATCAATATAATAAAATACAAGAATGAACATTTCTACTCTGCTAACATTTGTCTACATAAATGTATCAGCCTGAAAATGGTGTACCTGACACACTGTAATATTGTCTAAATATTCCAACTGTAAATCTGTATTTGGGTGCATTGTAGCTATGAAAATTTTTCAGTACATTTCATAATATACATAAATATCAATTAACCCGTGGAGCATGAGGTATAGCTTAGGTTGTGCTCAGTTCTTTTGTTTTCAGCAGATGATGCCCTGAATCTTTGTCTTCAAGGGGAAGAAAGAAAGAAAAGGGAAAAAAGACAAAAGTTATTCAATATACTGTACACCAGTCGGTGGGATCAAAAAGGGGAACTACTCCACGAGTTAAGAGAAAATAAGACAAGAAAAAAAAGTATATATCATACTAATATGCTATACTGATGTCTTTCAGATTGACTCCTTTTTATAGATTTAGTCTACTCTTGCTCTTAGCAGAGAAACGGCTCAGTTTTAAGAAAGATGTTCAAGACGTTTACCAAGTAGTGAAACAGAGGTAAAATAAACAAGCTTATACTCTTACTAACACACAAACAAGACATACGAAAGCATGCACATGCCTACACACATGCATGCACATACAACACACACACACTCCAACTGTGTGCTCACTTACATGCATTGTATTCATGGAAGGTAATGCAAATAGAGAACATATAATGATAAATCAAATGTCTTGCAGACAGGTGTTGCCAATGTTCACACACGAGGCCAAAAATATAAGCAAATGTAAGCTTTTATACATTACTTTTATATAATGTATGAGAAATATATTTGTTGCACACAGCTACTTAATGGCATAATTTTGATTTTTGAGCAGTAAATCTATTTGCAAAAGCAGACAGGGATTTGTATCTGAATTCTTCAATAGATTTAAAAAGCCATGGTTAGATCTTATAAAACACGTTTAGTTTAGTCTGTTCTATTTAGATTTTGCCTTCTGATATCTTATCTTTCCATTTACTATCTTTCTATTTACTAACACAACTGCATCTGAAAGCTAAATGCTGATAATAGTCTTGAACAACTTCATTCATTATTCGGTCCACAATTACATGACTTCATATAAAAAATACAATACTTAACCTTCTCAATATCATAACAATTCACAAATTCTTTCCTCATTATGTACACCATTTTACCTCAAAATATTATTGCTTTAACTTTTTGGACTTTAACAAATTAAAAAGTTAATTATCAGAGTAAAACTTACATAAGCTTTACCTCTGTGAGACCTGCAATCACCAATCTCATATAATAACTGTTTTATAGTCTCAAGCTAAACTCATCTTGCATGCAGTTTAATTTTGTATAGAGTAATGAAATATATACAGAAATGCAGTCTTATTGCAAATGTCATTGGTTCTTGGTTCAGGTATGAAATTGTACTAATGGCAGATTGAAAAATCTTGGATACATGTAACCAATGGAAGAAATTCACATAAGCATGGAAGCACCTAGTTACTATTGGTAATGCTGCATACTGATGTACTAAAAATAATAAAATAATATACATATATAATCAATAAATATAATCAACCATCTGGAAGGCTCCTATTTCATGTCAATTACTTTACATGGAACTCAACTACAACTGACAGTAGAGTAACAGTTATATATACTCAGGGAAAATGCAGAATTAATTCACTTTTCACACAGATGTTACTTATGTCATTTGGTGTATGAATTTGTGAAGGAAAAAAAATAATTCAAGGCTATCTTAATACAAACATAAAAATATGAAACCAAACCATTTCTCATCAAAGGGTATCACTAATATATCACTGTTATCTGGAAAAAAAATGGCTTTTCATATTTCAAGTTTATAAAGGAATAATGGGGCATGAAAAGCTGCTACACATTACATCATCAACATGATGTGACTAGATATATTAGCTAGCCTATGAAGAAAAAAAACATGAGATGATATCTAAAGCAAAGCAAATAAGATATCTGGGGCAAGGTTGAGTACAACCCGAATTTATGGCAAGCCAGAGTAAAGTAACTGTACTCTTGTCACTTTCTATATATACAATAGTCATCATCATCTGCAGTGGATGGGCAACTGGGTTTGCTGAGGTGGTAACTCCTTCCATGATGAGAAAAAAAAAAATAGTCTACTGGCTTTCCTTATCCTCCAAAAGTCATAAAACTGAATGTATACCACATGTCACCTGCACATTTATGGTATTTATAACAGGCTAAATAGGAAAAGGAAGGAAGGATATTGATAATGGGCATAAGGTTATCATACCTCAAAATAAGTGCAAATATAACAGCAAATCCATCTTGTATAGAAAGAAAAACAAGTTGCTTGACAAGATGGCATTGTAAATGTATGTATTAAGAAAGAACCATATTCTTTAACAAACTGTAAAACAATAACATGAGTGGAAAGTAGTATTCACTGAGAATCTAACCATCTGATCTGCATTTGTAAAATACTATATACCCTGTTATACAAGCTTGTGTTGAAGACTGAATATGCTGGAAGGACTTGCAGTATCAGTAGCTGTTCAGATTGCAAACAAAATCATTTTGCAACAAATCAGATATAAAAATAAAAAAAGGAAAATGCATTATCTGCTTACCTATTTGCTGCCTAAAAATAGCTGCTAAGTTGGAAAACCTTTCTTCAAAACTTTCAAAGCACACCCTCCTAAGTTATGAACAACTTACACCAGGAATACACAGAAAAATGCTGATCATTCTTACCACTATTTGTCAATATAAACAAACATATAATTCAACCACTAAAGGAATACAAGTTATTGTCATACGACCAATTGAATGAGTAACCTAAACAGATACTCAAGCAAAAACTGTTAACAGATAAACTTCAATCCCATAAACAAAATGCAAAAAATAAATAAAAAAAGAGTGACTTGCTTTCCTGCATTTATGTAAGATATAGTCAAAGATATTTTCATTATGCACTGCAATAATTACGGGTTAATATTGATTCATTCTTGACAGCTGATTACACTCCTTACAAATTGTTCTGTTAGACTAAACCAGGTATAAATGCAGACACATCAATAGGAAATTCTGCGTAATGAAAAAAATAACAGACTATTATCTATTAATATTTACAAACACACAAATATTGTTCAGCATGCACAGAAAGAAATGAAGTCTGGCATTACAATTAATGGTTAAGATTTACCTACTTAATTAAGCTCATACAAACGGTCATATTTTTACTTAAATAAATGAATGAACTTGTTATAATGCATGCAAGTATTTTGTAATAGGTCTTAAACTGTCTAAAGGGTATGGAAAAGGACAGTCTTATCATATCTTTTGTGCTTTCATCATGTACTGCTTG